TCTCTCTCGCTCTCTCCCGTTCTCTACGGTTCTCCACCGTTCGCTTTCTCCCACGTTTGTTCTCTCTCTCTCGCTCTATGTCGCTCTATCTCGCTCTATGTCGCTCTATCTCGCTCTCTCTCGCTCTCTCTCTCGCGCTCTCTCTCTCTCTCTTGCACTCTCTTGCTCTCGCGCTCTCTCACTCGCATTCTTTCGCTCTCGCGCGCTATCTCTCTCTCTCTCGCCCTACCACTCATTCTCGCACTCTATCTCTCTCGCGCTCTCTCTCCCTTTCTCTCTCGTGCTCTCTATCTCGCGCTCTCTCTCGCTCGCTTATTCTCTCGTTTGCTCTCTCTTTCTTTCGCTCTCTCGCTCTCCCTCGCTCTCTCTCGCATCTCTCATTTCGCCTTTCTCTCTCTCTCTCTCTCTCTCTCTCTCTCTCTATTCGTTTAGGTCGTTATTTCTATCTCTTTTATCCTCTCCGTTTGATTTACAGATCACGGCAAACGAATAGTTTGTTACTCTTTCCTTTGTACCCTGGAAGACTGTGGTACAATTGCGTTTATTGTAAGCAAACGAGAAAACGTTATAGAAACAGAAATTGAACGCTGAAAATCTCGAACAGAAGATTCTTCATTTGTATGGCTGAGTAAACTGCGCTTGCAAATGACTATTTCTCATTTTATCATTAATAATATTATTATTATTATTATTATTATTATTATTAATATTATCGTTATCTATCGGATATCCGGAAAATCCACAACCGGGAAAAGCATCTCTCGATTATTTTACGCCAAGTGGTATTCGAAATTACTAATTGTAATCACGGCAGTATGGTACAGTTGAGCGCAGAAGTAATCGTTCATTTTGGGCGTTAAACGAATTTCGGATAGCATCGTTAATATACTAATGAGAAGACAATTAAGTTCTATATTTTTTAACCTAACACTTGTTAGGTTACTTTAACATTGTTTACATTAAATCGAATCATAAATAATTGCTACTTTTTTGGAACAACTTGTAATTATTGACATTCATTATATATGTATTCAAACTACCTAATAAATGGTAATACATGGTAATAACAATTAATTAAATGAAATTGCTTTGCTATTGTCGCGTTTGAATTATTTACAACACAATCTAATCCATGGAATGAAGTAATTTCATTGAGAACAGATTTCGACTTATTTCATTACTTGCAAATAATGCTACGCGAAATTCACGTAACACGATTAAAGATGATCGAATTCTTTCATTAGCAACCGTGCCATTTTCTTAACGTTCACCTTACAACTATACTTTATACAGCGAATTAGTTCCGTCGAATTAGCCGAACCAAACGATCATCTTAAGCGTCAAATAAATGTTGTATAATGCTTTGTATGTATTAAAATATTTCGAAGTATCGGTGGACAATGATCGATCGAACTTTTTTACATTTCTTCTTTCAGAACACCCTGAAAATCTTATTTTCTAATGTTTGTTTTTCAGTGACTTTTCACAAGTTTTTTTACCATGCCCAAAAGCAAAAGTCTGCACCAAGATATTTTACTTATTTTGGTTCGTATTAGAGCTACGTTTATGCTAACGGGGAGAAGTTACTTTAACCGGACAGTCTATACCAAAATATCTTTTTAACAACATAATTTTGACAAGGTCAAACTATTTGTGACGATAGTAATAATGAATTAGAAATGTAAACAGGTCAAAGAAGTCACGTTGTACATGGCATAGTTAAGAAGATATAGATCATAGTATAAAAAAAGGAGATATCAAATTAAATCATAGTTAAAAATCAATCAAAAAGTGCTCAACAGGCAAAAATCGACTTTAGACGTCGAATTAACAATAAGTCGACAATTCAGAATTTAATATATTATTTAATATAATAATATAATATAATTAATATAATATTAATATTATATTAATATAATATAATATAATAATATAATAATAATAAATAATATAATTTAATATATTTAATACTAGAACTGCTGGACAGACAAAATTACGTTAATTATGAAGATTCGAAACCCGACATTTTAAAGGGTTCAATAGTTCCAGTGTTAAATATACAGAGTGTTCCAAAAAAGACTTACAATCTGAAAATAGGGGATTCCTGAATTGATTTGAAGCAACTTTTTCCTTAGTGAAAATGCAATCTGCGGCTTCGTTTACGAGTTATCAACGAAAAACCGTGACCAATCAGAGGCGAGATCATTTGGCGCGAGACGGCCGAGCCAATGAGCGGAACCGGGCTCCGTGCACTCGTTGGCTGGGCGGCCGCGCGCCAGCCGAGCTCGTCTCTCATTGGTCAGTGTTTTTTGTTAATAACTCGTGAACGAAGCCTCGAAGAAAATTTTTGCAAAGGAAAAAGTTGCTTCAAATGACCTCAGGAACCTCCCATTTCCGGATTGCGAGACATTTTCGGGACACCCTGTATAGGAGGCGTTTATACTGTTGCTTGTATGCAAGATAAATGATAAACTGTTGTGCGTGAAAACGTTCGGTTCCACTTCGTCCACTCTGTATACTCGTTAAGAGTTTACATATTATACATGTACACTACTCGAGCGTTATCTATAAAATGTCAGCCTTTTCAATCTCCGTAAAAAATTGCAAGAATATTTCTCTTATGAATTGTCAGGTAGTATTGCGTTTAATTGTTCAATAAATATGTATTTGTTATCCTATAACTTATATTTGCAGGAAGATGATGAAATCAAAAGTATGCACTTCTTGACGCGAGTATACTTCAAGTATAGTTGCGCAGTGGTTCGTAACTGTAAACAACGCAAACGAAGATCAAATCGACCTCACTGAAAGTCCAATGAAATTATAGCCGTAGATCTCTTTCGGACCGCAAGAGATGCTGGAAAAATGTTTCAAAAACGATCACCTTTTCTATTGAAAATTCTAATCGATAGTGTAGATAACAAAAAGAAACAGCTTCTAAATTAGGCTCGAGCAGAGATTATCTGTTATTTCGTTACTTATATTCTTGAACTTAAAATTCGTGAATTTTCATAATGCAACCATTTGCCCTGGAAATTGCTTATGCCCATAATTTGGGAACCGAAAAATCTTTGCAGCAGTAAATAGTGTCGGTATAACATATGTAAGAAAAATTGCGATTAGAGAATATATGAAAAATGATTTCAGTTAAAATTAATTGATATACAAAGTCAAAAACGAGTTAAGAAATTATTTCATTTAATAGCCGAGTAATCAAATAATCCACAGAGAAATCATTTTTATTTACAAATAAAGTTACTTTTCAAGCTAAATAAGATACTGCACTGTTGCAATATTCATGTTTCAACTACGCTTATTATTTCTATCTAGTTTACGTTGTTTACAAGTTTCGACCACTGTGCGCCATCGGAAATATTAAGCGTTCGCAGCCGAATCACTCTGATCTCCTTTGATACTAAGCGATCGTTAAAATCATAAGATCGAGGATCGATTCCAATCGTGATCTCGTTTTGTCCGGATGTTCCCGGTATAGAAAGGACTTTCCCGTTGCGTCGCAGACTCTCCGGCTATTCGGTAGACGTCTATTTAATACGCGTAATGACTTATCCTTTTATGCGTACTTACTATACTTCCCCTCTAGGCTATTGAAAAAATGAGAAGTTTATATGCTTTGTACTATGTCGAGGAATTTGTATATCGTTTCCGTATGCTTTCCTTTCCGTCGTCGTTTCGCCTCGTTTTACTTCTTGTTGTGCCTGATGTCGCCGTGTGAAAAACCCTGGCAATCACGCTTGCATACGTGCGCATAGAAAAACAAACGTCTGCGAGAAAAAAAGAGAACAATTCACCACACACATACACACATACTCGCGCCGCCAGAGCATCTGAACGAACTGTGAAACTGCATACCACTCGCTGGTTCATGCAAAATCGAGGCACCGTTTGCCAGAGAACAGCATGAATGCACAAAGTCTAGTTCAATGGAAAACAATGTTTAAAGCCGCGAAGCCAGTGATATCGTCACAAAATTTGTTGTCAATGCAAAGCAGAGGCATATATACATACATTTATATCAATTTTGTCTTCTTTCGATACAGCACTTATTGGGTCATTCTGTGTCAAATTTGGTATATCCAACTCTTCGCGGTTCCTTGCTGCTTTAGAGCTTACGTTTTATCCAAGAAAATATTCTTCTTCGATATTCAGTATACTGATAGCCAAAAAGATGACATGTTTTGAAATTTTAGCAACATCAAGTCATCCTATAAGTCGTATTGTTTTTTGTATTTCTCACGTGATCGGGCCAGGGCCGCTGAATCACAATTTTCAGGCTCTTCTACACGAGGCTACTCTGCATGCACGGGCCATCGACGAGGGTCCACCAAAATTCGTCCCTGAGCATCGTCGTCTAACAGCCACTCAGCTGCAACCGAAGCACCGACCGTGTGAACGTTCTGTTTACATTTTGTGCCGTTGTTCTCGTTGAACGTAGCACAAGGTGGAGATCACGTTTTGTTTACATTTACGAAGTCGTCCTTTATTCGAATAACTTCAAACTATATCCTCCGTTCATGGATCTTAAATATAATTAATGAACATCACATGTTGCCCGCATTTTTTTAGACTAATTTATTTCAAACGAAATCAAAAACTCTTTCGTAAATAACAAATGTTAATGTCGATACAATTAATAGTTTTTCTGAAATCAAGGATAAATTATTTAGACAGCAAAAATACTAAATGCAACTATGCTTCAATCGTGAAATATTCAGACGCATTTATTTAATTTTATTGTTTAAATGTACAAATATCTTAGCTGAAAAATACCGTCTCTAAAATTAACTACAAAAACAATAACGTAAATTAATGTTTTCAATTTTCTTGGAAAATGCTGAATACTAGAAACTCGAACCAAAAACAGATTTTACGTTGTTTAAAGTAAGACAAGAATTAAGATTAAGATTAAATTAGTGAAACAGTATATTTGATTTGTAGTGAAACAAATTTTTGAAATTAATTGTTCGCTTTGCCGTGTTCAATTCTCGTTCATCTGTATTGCATATATTCGTTTATTTGTTTCACCTTATAATGTAATACAATGTAACGTAATCAAAACCGCACTCTCGAAATGATAAATCTCACAAGGAAAGCGGGGGTTAACGAAAAGTTTTCTTACTTTTGTAAATTAGTCTAGAAAAATGTAAGTTCGTGTAAATATTCGCAGGCTATTTATAATTCATACCAATTCCAATGAATATCGAATTATCCTGGTAAACGCCTTGTGCGATGTAAAATACTTAAAACATGTTTTCTCAATTGTAATCGTACACGAAACTTTATAAAAAAATGGTATACATAAACAGTTGCATATACAAGTACCGCTTGTGGCTTACTTTTAAGAAGTCTCCCTAGTTCGACGATTCGAAGAATCGTTTCGTTTCTTTTGCATTTTCTTACAACTTCATGTTAAAACAGTGTCCGACATTTCAAATACGCTTTTCTCAAGATACTTACGAGCAACAAGATACAACTTATGAGATTATGATAGTTTGAATGTTTTTAACGATACGTATTATAACCATGCTAAGTAGTCAAGCGACAAGGTGAGAAACTGCTTTGTTCTGATTGGCCGGTTATTCCATGCGCAATCGGATGCGCAGTCAAATGGTGGGGGTGAAAGTTTTCGTTGACATTTCCAGCAGTATTCCTTCACAGTTCTCGGGTAATTAACGATTTATGACGATTTATTGGAACCTATAAATTGTGTATAATTTGGACGGGGAGAATACGTGAAAAACAGTAACTAGAAAGAAAAACAGGAGGAGGAAAGATATTTATGGTTGCAGGGAAGAGAAGCGAACTGATGGAAAAAACAGAACTGTCCGTTCACGACACATATGTATGTATCTTTATGCAATATATTCTGTTTGTATATTTTTTTTATAGAATTCGCTGAAGAATCCATTTTCATAGCTGGACAACAACATAGTCTTTACGCGTCGTTTAATATTTTCAAGCTATCATAACCGCAAGTTGAGAAATTAAAGATAATTTTTCCCACTTGGCAACTGGAAATTCGAATTTCCACCACCATTTTTTTGCTTTTCAATACTTCTTATTCGTTCTAGTTTGTGGCGACAGCTAAACACACGCATTGTAAGAAATGCTTTGCATTCTTTGTCAGACAACTATAAAAATCGGAATCATATTTGCCAAAACAATAAGGTTAAATTTTAATTGTTATTGTTCAAGAATATCTTCGAATATATTTTTCGAATATTAGTCAACGAAGACGTTAAATTTGAAGTTATAATACTTAATGATTTTCTTTGAAAAAAAAATCAAAGATTTGTCTTACAACCGTAACGTTAAACTAAGAAGACTCCTTAACTGAATATAGAGAAGAAAATGGAAGATAAATGTACGACTTCGGTCGAAAAATATGCGTTACCGCGTTTCGGGGTCAAATACAAATTTTGTCGCTTGTTTAAAATGCCGGTGGCTCGGTTTCCTAAGGCTTGTCGCTAGATGGCAGATTTTATGCATTTATGGCTTATGACAAAGATGAGCGTAGATCGAATACAAAACGGTAAATGAAAGGAAAAGGTTCAACAAATGCTACTAGATTATTTTCAACTCGTTAAAAAATGAAAATAAATTCCTATTTAACGATACGTTTACCGGTATTATCTTCGGTTTTCTTACTTGGAACTATAATATATTATTATATATATATAATTAAGTAATTAATTAATTATATATTATAATAATAATATATTATATATATATATATATATATATTATATAATATATTATTACACTTTCTTACTTTCTTACAGGTCGTGAGAAAAGAAATAAACAAGACGTTATTTCCATTCGCGCCCTCTTCTAACATTCATAATCCAAATTAAAAAAAAAGAGAAACTGAAAATAATACTGGTAACTGTATAAAATTATACCGGTATTTCTATGTTACAGTTTGCATATAAGGGTTTTAATACCGGAACCAAAAAATATGTATCTGCATGCAAGGGCCCTCGATATAAAGGTCCTCTAATATTCGTCCCTGAACATCGTCTCATCGACTTCGCAGCACCGATCACATGGAACGTTCTGTTTACATTCTGTGCCAGTCAACTCGTTTGAACGTAGTACAGTTCTAGAAGAGTCTTTTGGCGTGTGTAACAGCATCAAGGGTCCGTTTATGGTTGGACCTACGATGAAAGTCACGGGAGCATTGGATCTGATCTAATATCCTTACAACATTGGCATCACCTCTCTTTGGTTTGTTTATGATGGAGCTGCGGCAATAGTCCAAGTTGAGTCATTCAAGGTTTCGCAAAGATAAGTGAGTCTGAAGAACAAGTATTTTACTATATTCAAGTTCCACAATATGGTGTATCGAAAAATATGTACGAGTTGCTCTGACCGTTGCTCCAACATAAACATTCTTATATGTATGTAGAATGTATAAAACAGTTGAATGTATTTCCACGCTTCTCTCTCTTCATCAACGCTCTTATCGTTTGCCGCGTCACAAATGATATACACTGTCCCAAAAATGTCTCGCAATCCGGAAATGGGAGGTTCCTCAGGTCATTTGAAGCAACCTTTTCCTTTGTGAAAATTTTCTCCGACGCTTCGTTTACGAGTTATTAACGAAAAACACTGACCAATGAGAGGCGAGCTCGGCTGGCGCGCGGCGGCCCAGCCAACGAGTGTGCACGGAGCCCAGTCCCGCTCATTGGCTCGGCCGCCGCGCGCCGAATGATCTAGCCTCTGATTGGTCACGGTTTTTCGTTAATAACTCGTAAACGAAGCCGCGGATCGCATTTTCGCTAAGGAAAAAGTTGCTTCGAATCACCCCGGGAATCCCCCTACTTTCGGATTGCGAGACATTTTTGGGACACCATGTATAGATTGTATATATGCGAATAGCCGTGTGAAGAGCCATAGTCGTTATTCCGCAAAAGTAAAGTTGGAACGTGAGAGAAACACGTGTTATGCAATAAGAGATTTATGCACGCTTTACATGTACACNGTTGAGTCATTCAAGGTTTCGCAAAGATAAGTGAGTCTGAAGAACAAGTATTTTACTATATTCAAGTTCCACAATATGGTGTATCGAAAAATATGTACGAGTTGCTCTGACCGTTGCTCCAACATAAACATTCTTATATGTATGTAGAATGTATAAAACAGTTGAATGTATTTCCACGCTTCTCTCTCTTCATCAACGCTCTTATCGTTTGCCGCGTCACAAATGATATACACTGTCCCAAAAATGTCTCGCAATCCGGAAATGGGAGGTTCCTCAGGTCATTTGAAGCAACCTTTTCCTTTGTGAAAATTTTCTCCGACGCTTCGTTTACGAGTTATTAACGAAAAACACTGACCAATGAGAGGCGAGCTCGGCTGGCGCGCGGCGGCCCAGCCAACGAGTGTGCACGGAGCCCAGTCCCGCTCATTGGCTCGGCCGCCGCGCGCCGAATGATCTAGCCTCTGATTGGTCACGGTTTTTCGTTAATAACTCGTAAACGAAGCCGCGGATCGCATTTTCGCTAAGGAAAAAGTTGCTTCGAATCACCCCGGGAATCCCCCTACTTTCGGATTGCGAGACATTTTTGGGACACCATGTATAGATTGTATATATGCGAATAGCCGTGTGAAGAGCCATAGTCGTTATTCCGCAAAAGTAAAGTTGGAACGTGAGAGAAACACGTGTTATGCAATAAGAGATTTATGCACGCTTTACATGTACACTATCTTATTCTTTGTTGGCTAGTTACCGGAACGCGGCAAATGCATTCTTCTCTCAGAACCCGAAGAGTTGGCCATTTCTATGTAAATATAATGTAATAGTACGTAGACAGCTAAGAACCAAGGATCGATCTGTAAATTCTATAAGAAAAATGTATTGGCCTTTGGAGATAACAAATTTCACTTCGAGCCTTTTATGAAAGAAAATTCTTACTTCGACGTATCGATTATGCTTGGAGTTCGCTTTAAAGTCTATCCTTTCTTCCTTAGCTCGGTACTTACAAAAAGATAAGCGCGCCGTTAAAGATCGTGGATATTCTACATTACGAGGAAGTAGATCACCGCATATCTGAAGTTTGTTATTGTACTCTGTCACCTGCGCCGCGCTCCTAACCTCACATATTCTTCTTCTTCTCGTTTTGCATGAACCAACCCGTATAACAAGTCCGCTACCAACGTTTTATGACGTAAAATACAGAGTGTCCCAAAGATGTCTCGCAATCCGGAGCTGGGCGCGGCGCCCTCGTTGGCTGGGCCGCCGCGCGCCGCTCGAGCTCGTCTCTCATTGGTCAGTGGTTTTCGTTAATATCTCGTTAATGTTGCCTCGGAGAAAATTTTTGTAAAGGAAGAAGTTGCTTCAAATGATCCGAGGAACCCGCCATTTCCGGATTTCGAGACATTTTTGAGACACCCTATATACATACATGTATACAGTGCGTTACAGTTTCACAGTCTTCGCTGAAAAAACGTTAACGAAGTTTAAAAAATAGAACATTAGGTTGTTACATGTGGAATGTTACAAAACGTTTTGATTGAAGCGATTTCGCGTGTACCATTTTAAAGCTCCAAATATAGTTCTTCAGATCGAATCTTCCTTTTTTTTATTTAACTAACTGTTGTTACTTTTGGACAGAGTTTATTTCAATTAACGTGATTTTCGTGGACTTACTGTTGATCCGGGGTCGGATTAAGATTTTTAAAAGCTCTGAGAAACCTGACAGGATTATACATAAAGTCCCACATCGTACGTGTACAGTCAACCATAAAATTCTATGTACATTTGATAAATTTCCAATATTTGAAGAACACAAAGACTGCACATTTTGTGTATATTGAGATTTACTTAATACATCAAATTTTGATTAATCGGATGTCACATTTATTACAGCTAGACGGCGGATCTTTATTATTCGGCTAGGTTTTATAAAAAATTTTCGAAAAATACCAAATACAAAGTTCGACGCTATTTAAGACGGTTTTTTACTTATTCTTTAAGCACGAAAACTGTTATTGTTAAAAATAAGATTCTACTTAACTACACTTTCTTAATGCCTACAAAAATGGGAAAATTCATAAAAATTTCTAGTATGATTATTATACATATAACTAATGTAACGACAAATTTGTTTTTTGAACGTATCCCTGTTAACTATTCAATACATTCTTGTATACCGTTGTTTTTGCTTGACATATATTTGTTTGCAAATGCAATTGAAAATATCGGCGCCGTTTCGGAAGCTGTTCAATTATAACAACAAATGGGTTATTGTCCACAAAACGTCCAACACCTTTGCTTTTTCGTTTCAAACTTATCAAATATACGTAGATATTTGCAACCGAATGTACTTAATAAAAGGGGTAAATAACGTGAAAGTTGTTGAATAAGATTATATTTTTATGGAAGCTGGATTTGACGAATGAAACACGTAAACAACAAAATAAATCGACTCTTTGTAAATCACTTGAACTTGTAACTCGTTAACGAATTCTATAAATTAAAGTGATCCTTGTTTAAGTCGCTGCTGAAAATCAATGATTTCGTATGTAACAGCCTAATACGGATTATTCCACATTCATTTAACCCTAAGATAGCGGACCTTGATAAATTAAAAATTTCCGACGCCTAAGGATACATTTAATTCGTTTGCTATTGTCTCTTCATAGATCTTCCATTTTTTCCATGACAAGGTTATGTCGTACAACATTTTTATCAAAACAGACCCAGGTTCCGCCATCCAAGAGCTCGAATCGAGTATTTCAATATGTCGCGCCAATAGCGAAGAACATTGGAAATCTCGCAGCAATTCACGGAGTAGTATTTTTGTTTCCAAACTGTGTGTATGTGTGTGTGTGTGTGAGACCGCGATTAACGAACATGCTAATTTTAGATTCGCGCGCGCACGAAAATACAATTCCGCTGTGACGGTCGTCGATCGTATTTCCGGTTTCGGCTCTATCAATTAAGAGTTTCGAGACTGCGTAGAAAAATATGGTTCTCAATTGTTCACCCTCATATCTCGCAGAAAATCGCATTTGATTTACACAAACAGGCACGGGCGAGTCGTTTCAGCCGCTGGCCCGCGAGAGCTCCGCTACGACTGCACATTATTACACGGACAGAGGCCCGCGTGGAGCGAAGAAAAAACAATGTCGCATCGTTTCTCGTGCCGCGCGAGCGTGCAAGGGACGAGCCGCCACGGGGAACCGTAAAAGTGGGGGGAACGAGCCGCCACGGGGAACCGTAAAAGTGGAGGGGGAACGAGCCAGATTCGGCCGCGCGACTCGCCCATTCCTGGTTTACAACAAAGTGTACCTTCTTCCTTTTTTTCACGGTTTTCTCTCGTCCCCGTTCGAGCAATTATTTCTCTGCTGTCCGGTCGCTTACAGGGACAGTTCTATTACAGATCATTACCGTTGAGTATCGGAATTAATGCTTGAAACTTGCCGCGTGCGATTCAAAGTCGTCGCGAAGAAGAAACGTCGACAGTCGAAACTTGACCCTTCGCGTCTCGAGCAACGAAATACGGTTTGAGAATTCTATCGAAAGAAAAAAAGCAATAACGACTAGACTGCGGATCTTCGTGCAAAATCAATGCTTCCTGAGTCAGTTTCAAGAATTCGCAGTTGAAGAGAATTGAATTTCTCCTATTATATTATTAGATCGAGTCAAATATTTCTCGTTTCAGGAAACGAATTCCGATAACGTACATTTTCATATTTGTTGTTCATTATTTTATTGACAAATCAAATTCATACATTACATCGGAAATGATTTCTGACCCGATCTAACATGCTAAAGATGCGCACAAGTTGAAAATAATACGATAGTATGTTTCTATTATTATCCACATATTTTCACTGCTTTTTTTTTTATTTTATCTACTAGTACCTCGTATACGTGACGTAAAAATCCGCAGTCTAATCGATGACCGTCGCGACAAGTCTTCGTCTAATAATTAATCGTCCACAGGGGACCGAAACATTTTTGGAAAGAAAACATTTTTTTGTCGCCGGAAATATTGTTGAAGATTTTTCATCGTAAATGGCCCGTGGACGATCAAATAAACACCATCGACGAATATTCGACGAAACGGGCAACAACACCGCATCCAATTCCTGCGCGTGGGTTATGTTCGATTGTATGGACTTTAACCGTCCGACGGTTTTCTCGATTGTATAAAGCGAGACCTCTGCAAGTTCAGCCTGCTCTCGTAATTCCTCTCTGTCCTGCACTTATCTTCTCGTGCAACTTGGGCAATAAAGGCCTATCCCTTATTTAATTACTTATGCTCTATAAAAACGTGTTACTTATCCGTTAAACTAGATCTTACTATATTGAGTACAAAAACAAAATGTTGTTCCGGCTAACGTTATGAAAATAGGATAGAAACTGAACGTTTCGGTTGCGTTCGGATTTCTCCTCGAATCGTTTCGAACCGAACTTCTTCGATATCGTTTTCTTTAGGTGTTTTTACCTTTTACGTCCTTCGACTCGTAACAAAAGATCCGCCGATTCCCATCGAAGGAGCAATTATTTCCATGAAAAAAGAAAATCATTTCCGTACAGATTATGGCACAGTAATTAAGTTTGCTCATTTCTTCGCGAATCGTGTCGATCGAAATTAACAATGACGAGAGAACTCGCCCTATGTCTCGAGCCACGGAAACCATTAATTCCCTCGCGTTATTAAAAAATATTTCATTTTGTTCATCCGTCCGTCGCCCGTCCACCTGTTTCTTTTTTTTTTTTAGTCCTCTCACTCGTCTTGCGGGGCGCAAAAAATAGCTAGCATGGCGAAAAACGATGAAAAAGTATCCGGGAACGGGAGACGGAAGAAGAAACGGAGCGTACAGGGTGTCTCGGAAAGAGCTACACACGGGGTCATTCCTTAGACTCGATTTAGGTTGGAATAACATGTGTGTGTGTGTGTGTGTGTGGGTATGGAAACAGTCCAGCGCCTGTCTCTTATACACATCTAGATGTGTATAAGAGACAGGCGCTGGACTGTTTCCATACCCACACACACACCTGTCTCTTATACACATCTAGATGTGTATAAGAGACAGGCGCTGGACTGTTTCCATACCCACACACACACCTGTCTCTTATACACATCTAGATGTGTATAAGAGACAGGCGCTGGACTGTTTCCATACCCACACACACACCTGTCTCTTATACACATCTAGATG